AAAAAAAAAAAAAAAAAAAAAAAAAAAAAAAAAAAAAAATTGTGTGCCAGGTTGGGAATGGGATCTCTCTAACGTAAATGTAGGTTTGAATAAAAAAGTCATGTCAAACAAGAAGAACCCCAAAACAAAGTTAAAAATAATTGACTTCCATAAAATGGAAGGGACCTTAAAGCTCATCCAGTTCCAACCCCCTGCCATGGACAGGGACACCTTCCACTAGAGCAGGTTGCTCCAAGCCCTGTCCAACCTGGCCTTGAACACTGCCAGGGATGGGGCCCAACCTTACCATTTATAGGGCAAAACCTTCCTATCTCTTTTAAACACTTTTTTCCTCTCTCCTGCACGAAATAAACCCTCCCTGAAAGCATTTGCCAGCTCAGGTCCAGCAGTGCCCTAGCAGTGGGCACCCAGACAGCTGCCACGCAGGCAGCACAGCACCTTGGTGTGCAGCAAGGGACTCCATCAGGCTCTGCTGCCTCCCTCCCTCCTTGCTCAAGATGGACACTGGCTAAAGCCCACTCCATTCTGTGCCTGTGGTGGCTGGCAGGCAGCCAGAGAACTTGATGGTGTCACTTCTCCCTGACAAACCCCAGGAGGCACTGTGGCCAAGGGTGACAAACCCTTCTCATGGGGTGGGAGCTCAGAGCAAGCAGTAGATGAATCAGTGGTGATACCCCAGCCTTCTCAGAGGACACAGGCGAAAAAGAGAGGTGGCCAGATACTGCCAACTGCCCCCCCAGGGCTGCAGAAGCCCAGAAAGGACAGGCTGGAGGTGGGAGGAAAGGAGGAGTCCAGAGAATGAAGCCTTTTGGCCCAAGAGCTGAAGCAAGGCAGCTGGAGTACAGTGCTGTCACTTCCCCCCTGCCCTGCACCACAGCAGAACAAGCAGATGGCTCCTGCCACAGCTCCTGCCCCAGGGATCAGACCAGCCAGCAGCAGTGTAGGCTCAAGCACTGGCAACAGCTCCATGTACAGTTTGGAACAGTTTGTTCCCAAGGCTGTGGGCATGCAGCACTCTAGTTGGAGAGCTGCCCACTGGAGATGTCCCTGCCTTCACCACAGGACTTGTTTCTCCTACCCACTTCATGGTGCCCATGCAGGGACCTAAAGCACCTAAAACAGTCTGAAAACCAGTCACAGGGCAGGGGAGAGACCAAGGGCCCAATATGCTCAGGCACAGGCTGAGACTCTTTCCTCCATATGGTAAGCATGAAACACAAGGGACCCTGATAGATAAATCATGTTCTTTGATACTTTAATTTCAGAAGAACATAATAGACCCAGGAAAATAAACAAAACATAACTGAAATACAGTAATCCTACGCTGGGGGTTCAGGGAAGGAGCAGCTCAGAGGAAGGGCTCTCCCACACCAGCGTAACAAAGTTTGATGCCTACTGGGAACATGGGAGACCCCATGGCTGGGATAGAGGAGAAGCCTGATACCTCCTCACCTCCACTACCCATCAATTGTTCCTACACAAGCAGAAAGACATAGAACAGACATGCCTCAGGCTGCCTCAGTCACTCACTACCGACAAACAGGGAATGATGACCTCCTGCCCCCTGTCAGAAACAACCCCAGCCAAGCAAATCCAAGAAAACACACCACTAAGGAGTCAGTAGCAGCTGGTGGGAGAAGACCCCCTTCTAAGCAGACATGATACAGGGCAGAGGCCTGGCAGGTGAGGGAAGAGGCTTCATCCTGCTTTAGTCTACCTCTTCCATGCGGGATGTATCTTCATCTCCCTCCAGAGGTGGAATTTCATCAGCGGCAGCTGCACCGAGTACTTCTGCAGTCACCTCATCTTCATCAATGCCTGGGAGAAGGGAGGAAAGGAAGGGATGAGGCCTCCAGGTGACACCTGATCCCAGAGGTACTTTCTGCCCACAGCCTGAGGGACAGGAATATTAGCATCCAGTAGTTATGCCAAGCCGCATCTCTTGATTTACATTTTCAGAGGAATAGCCGATTTAGAAGGAAAAAAAGTTGGATACAAGCACAAGCAGTTTCATCAAATGGGTCACATCTCCCACAACAGACTTCCGACATTCATTCTGAAGTAGTAAAAAAAAAAAAAAAAAAAAAAAAAAAAAAAAAGAGTCTCAGCCTGCAATCGGAGCAGCCTGCCAGTGGCTCCTGGCCTTGTGAGGGACAGGACAGTCCACTCAGAGCCCTCCGCAGGTACTTTAATTCCAGGCTTCCACTTGCTCCTAGCCACCTTATGTACAGAGCCAGTTCTGAACTCCACACCAGCACCACAGTTACTGGCCTCCCCCTGCCCCAAGGCAGTACACACTAGCCTGACCAGCTAACTTGCTTTCAGACCTGCTCCATGCCCAAGAAGCTGCATGGACACCTACCAAGCCCCAGTTTGATCATCCTGTAGATGCGGTTGGAGTGGGTCTGGGGATCTTCCAGGGAGAAGCCAGAGGAGAGCAGAGCAGTCTCAAAGAGCAGCACCACCAAATCTTTAACGGCTTTGTCATTCTTGTCAGCATCAGCCTTCTGGCGGAGGGTTTCCACAATTGGGTGGTCAGGGTTTATCTCCAAGTGCTTCTTGGCCATCATGTAGCCCATGGTAGAGTTGTCCCGCAGTGCCTGAGCCTTCATAATGCGCTCCATGTTGGCTGTCCAACCGTAGGTGCTGGTGACGATGCAGCAGGGAGAGGAGACCAACCGGTTTGAGACAGTTACCTGCCAATGTAGCCAAGGGTTAGCTGAGCAAGGTCCAAATGCCTTGGACTGAGCCCAGCCACAACACACGTCATACCAGAGGTCTTTGCCCCAGGTTCGCCTGAGGACACCCCAAAGCAAGCACAGGTCCTCCAAGCAGCTCCAGGATTGCTGCACAGATTGGATTGGACAGCTCAGCCAGCACCTTCAGCACCCGCTGATGTTTTCCCACACTTACCTTCTCCCATCAATGCACGTTTTTGGGTCAGTGCCCTTCACCTGCAGCCTGGCTGCTTAGAGCAAGATGGTGCATGCTGGGATCTCCACTCTCCTTTAGCGGCTCCTCTGCAGGAGATGAGAGGCATGCGTTGAGCTGGGGCCCTTGCCTGTGTCACAGAGGAGCCAGCCGTCCTCCCTCCAGCCCACAGCTGAGCTCCCTGCCCATCTCACCTTCTCCACCTTCTTGTCCAGGATCTCCTTCATGAGTTTGCAGAGGTTCTCAAACTTGGTCTTGCTCTCCTCCATCTTCTTTTTCTCCTCCTCATCCTCAGGCAGCTCCAGCCCCTCTTTGGTGACCGATACCAGGGTCTTGCCATCAAACTCCTTGAGCTGCTGCACACAGTACTCATCAATGGGCTCCGTCATGTACACCACCTCAAAGCCACGCTTCCTCACACGCTCCACAAAGGCTGAGTTGGCAACCTGCTCCTTACTCTCCCCTGTGTTTGAGACGGGTACAAACGAGATGTCACCAGGGCATAAGAGCTAGTTCCAGCAGGACAAACAGCACCAGTCACTCAGAACCCTTAGCATGAAACTGGCTGCAGCCAGGGCTCTAGGCCTGGTGGTCTTCCCCTAGCCCCCAGGGACAGGCTGTGATTCAGCAGGGAGGGACCTGCTCAGGGCAGGAAATATCTGCTCTAAGTTGGGGGCTGGTAGGCAGGTGACCTGCCTCCACATCACTAGGACACAGAGGAGCTCTGGCTCACCTGTGATGTAGTAGATACTCTTCTGGTTGTCCTTCATACGGGACACATACTTGGAAAGCGAAGCCATCTCGTCACCTGACTGGGACGTGTGGTAACGCAGCAGCTCCGAAAGACGCTTCCGGTTGGTCGAGTCCTCATGGATGCCCAGCTGGGGGCAGAGGAAATGCATGAAGCCTCCAGGATGCGAAGTGCATGCACTTGGCCACCCCTGAGGCACAGCCACCTCTGCCCACCCCCGATCACCTGAGCGCTGGGCTGAGGGCAGCCAGAGCCGCCAGCTGCCCACAAAGCCTCTGGGACACTTGCTAAACCCCCTTTATCCTAACACCCATGCAGAGAAGACGTAGCACAGGGACAAGGCTGCTCCTCAAGGCACAAGTCGTGGGCCCCTCCCTTCTGCAATTGCAGGGTGCCCAGCTCACCTTCAGATTCTTGGAAAAAGCCTCATAAAATTTCTTGTAGTTCTCCTTGTCTTCTGCCAGCTCAGAGAAAAGCTCCAAGCATTTCTTCACTATGTTTTTGCGGATCACCTTGAGGATCTTGCTCTGCTGGAGCATCTCACGAGAGATGTTCAGAGGCAGGTCCTCGGAGTCCACAACGCCCCGGATGAAGTCTGAGTAGGGGAAATGAAAATAAGCATCAGGTTAAAAGCTCTGAGCTTCATCACAAGAGCAAAAGTGTTAAGACACTAACTACTGTGTGCCCACACCAGCTAGCATGCTCTGTACTGGGAGCAGTACCACAGGCTGTGGCGGTCCCAGCTCCATACTGGGAGATAGAAGTAGGGAGCTCTTACTTAGGTACTCAGGGATGAGCTCATCACAGCTGTCCATGATGAAGACACGCCTCACATACAGCTTAATGTTATTTTTCTTCTTCTTGTTTTCAAAGAGGTCAAAAGGGGCACGGCGCGGGATGAAGAGCAGGGCCCTGAACTCCAGCTGCCCTTCCACAGAGAAGTGCTGCAGAGACAGGAAGAAAAAACAGCTGCCAGGGTGCTTCCCTTCTGCCCCAGGGCTCCCTGTGGGCAGGCTGAACTACCACTCATCAGCACTTGGGCTAGCAGCCTGGCACATCCGAGCAGCCTGCATTTGTCCCTCCTCAGCCCCACTTCTTCCTATGTGCCAGGGGTCTCTGCCATCCAGCAGACCTGGATGGAAAAGTCATGTCTCTCTGAGGCCAAACATCCTCCCATCCTGCTTCTAGGCCAACACCTCCACTTGCATGGGAGTCGCAGTGCCAACTGGGACACCAAGCGGCCCTGGAGCCCTCAGTCCCACTAAGGTACAACCATGCAGTAGCTGGAACCATGCTATGGGCTGGAAGGGGGCCCTGTGCCTCTCCCTGGAAGGCAGGGTGGCCCTGCACCCACCTTGACAGCCAGGTGGTCCTCCCAGTCATTGGTAAGGCTCTTGTAGAACTCGCCATACTCCTCCTGGGTGATGTCGTCAGGGTTGCGTGTCCAAATAGGCTTGGTCTTGTTCAGCTCCTCCTGGTCAATATATTTCTCCTTGATTTTCTTGGTTGCCTTCTTGCTTTTACGTCCTTCCTCTTCCTCTTCATCAGAGCCCACATCCTCAATTTTGGGTTTCTCTTCATCTTTAGATGCTGACTCTTCCTTCTCATCTTTCTCTTCCTCTTCCTCATCACCGCTGATCTCTTTCTCACGCTCCTTCTCCGTCTATGGAAAAAGGGACAAGCAAGAGTCAGGTTTATCCCCAAGCAACTGTTACCAGGAATCCTTTTGCTCCAAATGAGAGAAATGGGTGACCTCCAAAGTCCAACAAATGTAACATCTGGAAGCAGGACTTCTCCTGAAGCCAGCTCTTAGAGTCCCCCCACAGCACATGCAACCAAAAGCTGTGTCTAAGATGGCAGAAAACCATCCAGCCTCCATGGCTGGTTTAGATGACCTCCAGTGGCACAAATCAAAGGCCAAAAGTGTGGCTGGATACCCACCACCTTCACCTCCAATAAACCCCTAGCCTCAAATCATCTTTGGCCACAGCAGCTGGGAGCACCACCGCTCAATACCCACCAGCCTGCAACTATGGAAGGGAACAGAAATTACTCTGCCCTTTTCTGGGCTGTTGCTCCCAGCACCACCCACCCCTGCCTCCAAGCTTTCCAGTGGGTCCCCACAGTGCTTCTCTTACGTACAAAGAGTGTGATGGGGTAGCCAATGAACTGGGAGTGCTTCTTCACCACCTCTTTGACACGCCGCTCCTCCAAGTACTCTGTCTGGTCCTCCTTCAAATGCAGGATCACTTTGGTGCCCCGTCCAATGGGCTCACCTACAGTGCATGGAGAGAAACATTAGTGTTTCAGGGTATATTGTTAAAGGACTGAATACAATCAGGACCAGCTTCTTGATTCTAAACACTATTTGATACATAACTAACAAGTATAATTGACAATGTAGCATGGATCTAAGAAGCACCAAGAAAAGGGGTACTTCTAGCAGACAAATATGTTTGAGGATTTTCTGTACAATACATACCATGGTCAGTTCGGACAGTGAAGGAGCCCCCAGCTGACGACTCCCAAGCATACTGCTCATCATCATTGTGTTTGGTAATGACAACCACCTTCTCAGCCACTAGATAAGCAGAATAGAAACCCACACCAAACTGCCCAATCATGGAAATGTCTGCACCAGCCTGTGAAAGCAGAGAGAGATGACAGATCAGTGAAGAAACAGGAGATGTCTACAACTGATTCACAGCAGCAAAGAACTGGGTCAAGCATGCAGAGAAAAAGGCAAGTGCCAACAGGCAGCCAGCCCTACCCTCGGCTTCTCCCTGCTGCTGGGAAGGTGGGGAAGCATAGCTGGGTACACCAACAGCTCCCACAGCAAAAAAAGCAGCACAGGTATGGTTATACTCCAGTGAAAGACTGTGGCCCAGGCCCTAGGAATCTCATGCAGATAAAGGCAACCCACCTGCAGTGCTTCCATGAAGGCTTTGGTCCCGGATTTGGCAATGGTGCCCAGGTTGTTGATGAGATCTGCTTTTGTCATCCCAATGCCAGTGTCCACCAATGTGAGCGTGCGCTCCCGGGGGTTGGGGACTATGTCAATCTTGAGGTCCTTACCACTGTCCAGCTTTGAGG